GATTTATGGTATGTAGTCCAGAAGCTGTTGCACGCACGTGCTTTGCTGACATCACTCTCGAAGTTTGATTGATCCCAGTTATCCTCAAACTGTAACTTGAGGCTCCAGGGTATGCGTCATCCCGCAGACTTTCATCATCTTTAATAGGTTTAAGTGATGTTTTCTCTATGGTGTTTAGGTGAAGCAAGTCATGCATTTCGGAAGAAGAGATTCGGCTCATAGCGGAGCCTGCTATATCCATAGCTTTGCACGATTCGTTGACTGTGATGATCAATTACGCCGGAAAACATGGGAAAACACAAGATCTCGGTCGTTTGATTACTGAAGTTGTTATCAGTAACTAATTATGATAATTATTTGAACTGACTGCCCTACAGACTTCACCTTCAGTCTTCAGTATTGAGGGCAAAGGGCAGGATGCCCGTGTAAGCCCCATCACCACTGGGTCGAAAGACCGATCACAGGTGTTCGGTCCTCCATAGCCCCCTCATGTGCTCATCCAAATGCCGCTTGAAAGCAGCGTCTATCTTCTCCTCCACCACGGTCGCCGGAAGGGAATTCCAGAGTGTTATTGACCTCAGCGAGAGTCGGTGAACTAACGGAAGACAAACCGATTGAAGTTTCCGCAACGTGAGAGAGTGCCTCCGCGTGCGGTCCTCTGTCCGTAAAGGGAAGTACTGTTGCAGATCCGGACCCATATCACCTCTAAGGATCTTCCCCAGGCAGATGAAATCTCCCCTGAGGCGTCGATACGTAATTGGGAACAGACCAGTAGCCTGTAGACGACCTTCATAGCTGATCGCGCGTAGTCCAACAACGAGTCTAGTGGAAGCACGTTGTACACGATCCAACTTAGCAAGTTCACTCGCCGTGCAGGGGTGTGTCACCGCAGCACCATACTCACGTTTTGGCCTGACATAGGAAGCGTACAGCAGTCTGAAAGCGTCCATCGTGATTTGGTTGAAAGACCGCCGAAAAGGCCCTAGAATACTCCATGCAATGGCACAGACCCGATCGGTTTTTTCTCGGGTCTTTAGTGATGCCGTTACCATAATTCCCAGGTCTCTTTCGCACGATGTTCTGCGTAATGTGGTTCCCTGGAAGTTGTAGGCTATCTCTGAGTCAGCTAACCCCAAGTGCAGGTGAGCACACTTTGCGGTGTCGACTGGAAGAGCCCAGGTGTCCGCCCACTGAACCAGGTTGTTCAAATCCGCTTGAAGGGAAGTTTGATCATTCGGATACTCAATTGTGCGCCAGATTTTGATGTCATCCGCATACATGAGGGATGGGCTGCACTGTTGACCGGGCAGGTAGTTCACATAAACCACAAAGAGCAATGTACCAATAACCGAGCTTTGGGAGGACCCCACTGGGAGTGGTAAATCACGCAAAGAGCGATTTGCCAACACGGACGCAGAATTTCCGGTCTATAAGGAAGTCTCGCAGCCAATTCAGCATGACCACACCTACACCTAGGTTAGACAGCTTCCATAAGAGGCGGTCGCGCGGCACCTTGTCAAAGGCCTTGCTGATGTCCACGAAGAGGATTTCCGTTTCGTGTCTTTTGGTCTTGTCCTATGTCCAGCATTCACGGGCTAGTAGCAGATTTGCGAGTCATGAGCGACCCGGTCGGAAACCGTATTTTTGGTAGCGCAAGTGACCGAGGCAAAACAGATGCTGCCGAAGCCGTGCAGCCATCAGTCGCTCCATTACTTTACCCACAACAACAGTAAGGCTGACTGGTTGGTAGTTTCCAGGGTCACTCCTATCCCCACCTTTGAGTAGTGGAACAATGACAGCATCCTTTCACTGCCGCGGTAGACGGCGTTGAGTGAATGAAAAACTGACCAGGTTGCACAGTGGCACTGCAAGTTCATCTACCAGCTCCCTCAGGATAAGCGGATGCACAAAACCAGGTCCAGGTGACTGGGGAGCCTTTAGCCGATGCCGCTCCAGAGTCACCTCTCCGATAGTAAATGGAGTCCAGTTTAGAACAGTGTCAGTGTCCAGTGGATGTAACAATGTGCTGGAGTCTGGGGTGTACACTGAAGCATAATGTGATGCCAACATCTCCGCTTTGTCCTCGTCTTTTTCGGCTAGTGCCCCGCCTTTGGCGGGAGTCTGGAGACCAGGCATTGCTCTGATTCTTCGCCTGAGGTAGGCATGCAATCGCTTCGGTCCCTGTACAGAATCCGCTACGAGTAGTTCCTCGACTCTGGTTCTTTTGCATTTTTTAGTGCAATACAATGATTCCGAATACTTCGATATTCCTCATATCCTGCGCCTGTTGCACGGTACCTGGACCGGGCTTTATTCCGCTGCCGCAGGCACGCCCGCAGTTCTCGATCAAACCGCGGTGGGCCCATTGCGTGTGTTTGGTGGCGGTTGGGTGGAGAGAATTCCGGTATGAGGCGATGGATTCTATGACGAACCAACCCACAGGATACATCCACATCCTCAGGATTTCGGGAATCCCAATTTGTGAGTGATGCAGCCTGATGCATTTCTAGAAAGTATGATCACCACACATTCCGTCTGTCCCGTGGTCTGCCTGTTTGGGATACGCCACGCCTCCAGTGAATAGGCAGAACGGAGTAATCACTAGATGCAATCGGTGGAAGGAGATCAATCCTGGTCTTATCGGATTACCTCGGCGAAAACACCAAGTGAACGATGGACTTTTGATCCCCAACTATCCGCGCGGGCACATGAACATGCTGAACAAGCGAGAGTCCGGACAGCGAAAACAAGTTCTCTGGAAAATAAATCTGCGTGCTGAGAGTAGATGTCAGTTTCANTCAGTTTCACAATCAACGTGGGGCGCGTTGAAATCACCCAAGACAAGACAGTGTCCATTGCAAGCGTGCTTCTGTATGCTGGCCAACCGCTCTGAGAAGTACACAGCCGGTGTGCGGTAGATCACTTCAACTGTGATATACCATCGAGCACAAAGCTTGGTTCTGCACCACAGGGCTTCTCCAAATCCTTCCGGATGGGCGTAGTTCTCCAGCACTCAAACAGGGAGACCCGAGCGGACTAAAAAGAATAACTCCACCGCCTCGACATGACGATGATCGATCCGTTCGTAGCACTGTGGAGTGATATTTCGGAGTCCCGAACATCCGGTGTCAGCCAGGTCTCAGTGATTGCAAAAGATCGGGATTGTGGGATACTACCCAGTCCTCCAACTCATCCATTTTCCCATCACCCCTCGGATATTGGTTGAGGCTAGCACAGCGTGGTTACTTCATTCGCGCTTCAATCCGATCCCTCCGATCATGGTTAAACAGTCTCCCTGGTCCTCCCCCCCCCGCGACCAAGGGTATCCGACGAAGCTGAGGGTGCTTCCGATTCACACGAAAGTCCCGTATACACACATCAGTTTCCCCTTTTGCATAGCGATCCCTGAGTTCTTCCACTGCAATTTTCAGTTTACTGCGCTTGTCCGGATTATGATTCCTGAGGAACCGCTTCGGAGTTCGCTTCAGCAAACAATCCTCTCACAAAATATTCAGTTAATCGATTCAATTATACTCTCGAAAGGATAGTCAGTTTAAATCAATATCATTTATCCCACACCACTAATCACAATTACCTGTGAATTACATGCGAATAATCGATCGGGCTCGTTAGGTTTGTGGCAAATCAGCCCATAACCTGCATGGAAGTCCTAACTTGGTAGGAGGCTTTCAGTTGGAGTTGGCAGATAGTCAACTGTGTCTCATTTCGTTGCTATCGGGACAAATGAACTGACTGACTATCACTGTGGACGACACCTGAACAAATATAAATTGGCAATTTGGTTCAGCCAAGTTTTGAACTGATCGGCGCAGTAAAAATGTACACACCTACCGTAAGGATGGATTCGAAGTTCAAATCCTGAATAAGAAGATGAATTTGCACTACTGATGAGCTCTAATAAGAGCGAAGCTCGATTCTAGTGTTTCCAAGTGTATGGTTGAATCGATGAACTGGGGATTGTGCGTGAAGGCAAGGTCCGAAGGACAGTCAGTTCAAATCGATCAATATCAATTATCCACGCAATACGGATCACGGAATGTGAATCAAGGATTAGCAATGACGGCTTGGATCACGTAAGCACTGGCACTAGCACGCAATATCCCACGTACCTGAGTCACTAGGAAAAAGGACACAGGAGCAGTAGTTCATTTATTGGAAGAAATAAGGAGGATTAAATAATATGTACAAGGTAAGCTCATTAGTTATCCGTGCTCATACCAACCGCGTTCCAGTATTTCTTGCATCCTTTTGTTTCTTTCTAGGCCGCACGGTCTCTCATTGGCTGGTACGATCGACCTATGGTATGTAATTAGAAGCAGTGACACTTGCGCGCGTTGCTGACGTCAGCCGTGAGGTCTGATTGATCGCAGCTGTCCAAAAACTGTAATGCGTCGCTCCAGGGTACGCGCCATCTGGTAGGCCCGAATCACCACAATAATGCAGTAGGGGGAGAGATTTATTCAATTAATCGGTTAAGTACGTTGTGAACAATGCGCATATTGTGCTGAATTCCGTGGTGAGATAGTGAACCCGTGTGATAATACAGGGTGGATAAAAGATTAGCGACAGGAAATGGAGAAAAACAAGAAGCGGGATGGCCTGCAATGTAGTTCATTGCACTCTGTTTTTCTTAAATTTAACTCATTATCATACATCCTATGGAGTGCTTGTTCGATCGTATCGTTGTTAGCGGTGGTGGTGAAGTTAACTGATAACAGTTTACAATTTGTCGCGTGAGGCGGTCCAAACAACGTCCACCCGAACATGGTTCGAGCAACATATTTTGTTCTTTCCTGCCACCCAGTCTCGGGTCCAGGACCCAGTGTGCTTCGAGCACGTCACACTCTATCAGCAAATCGAATTCTAGAGAGTTGGCTTCTTCGAAGCACAAGTCTCGCAGCTGCGGCCAGCGCGTTGCTAATTCCACGATCGAATCCACTTCTGGCATCGGCAAATCGGCGATTGTGAAGGTCTCCGTCACATCTACTCGTTTACCATTATCTAGCAAAACCAACGTCACATTCGCTTAATTGGCGGAAATCGCCTTGGTGCCGTTCACCGTGCTGATCGTCAGGGAAGATGGTCGGGTTATGATGTTCTGGTTTACGACGAGGCGCTTAGTGATCATTGTGGTATCGGATACGCTGTCAATAAACGCTATCGCCTTCAGCACCCCACTGGGTGTTACTCGTGACGTACCTGCGTGTCCGCCGTTTGAGATAGTAGACATACCCTTCGTTTTTGAGTGCCGATAACTAACCTTCTCTTATGGAGTGCAACAGAGTATGATGGCTTCCCTGACTCCCCTTTTTGCTGCGTCTGCCCCAGTTCCTGCAAGTGGCCGCACGATATGAGCTGTCCAAACAAATAAAGCACGCACCATGCCTCTTGGCTACTTCGCAACGGTCCGGAACTTCGAGTTGTACGAATTTCTCACACGCGGATAACTCGTGATTCAAACGACACATAGGGCATCTGGGTGTGCCACGTTCCCCTACTGTTGCATAATTGTTTACGCTTATAGAACTTCTCGGGACCTCGTAGATTCGTTCTTTGGCGTAATGTCTCTCTTCTCGTCTATTCATGCTGGCGTGTTGTCCGAAACAACTGCTGGCAACCTTGGCACGATTTCGGATGAATTCCGTTAGCTCGGTGGAGTTCGATTCCCTCCCTAAACGGCCAATAACCACCGCATCCTCCTCCCATCGCTGCTGTGTCAGCCGACAGTTATCGTACTATTGCCTCTAGGGTGTGTAGTGTGTTCGAATCAGCTTCGTACTTCATTTTAGTCAGGGCAATGAAACAATTTTCTTCTCCATTATCATTCTCACCAAAGATTCGGGCTCGTTTCTCGCTTTACGGGCCTCCGCTAGCACCCCGTCTATGAGCGTCCGTGCCACGTCAATGTTCCTTGCTCGGTTATACCCAATTTCGTTTGGCAGCATTACACAATCTTCGATAGCGTCTCGGGCCTTTCCGCGGCAGTAATGCTTTAGATACAGGAATTATTGCCCTGGATCGGCTACTCGACACTCGACGAAGTTATCAAGTACTCTAATAAATCTCCAATAGTTACTGGGTTTCCCGTTGAATGGTGATAGCTCCACCTTGGGCAGGTCTATCGACATGTGGCGGTAAGTTACTTCAATCGGTGGTTGAGTCACTTTCGACGTCAGTCTAATGGGCAGAGTTTGGTTTTCCTTCGCGGTAAGCTTAGTCGAGCAAGGCTGCCGAGCTTCTGATTGCTTGAGCTTCATCGACCTAATCTCCCGCTCTAACTCAACAATCTTACGGAGATATAAATCAGAAATCTTAACATCAGCATCACAATCTAGGGTTATGAACTCCTAGCACCAACAGGACTAATTGACTTATAACAAAACAAGAGCCAAGTGTTACCATAAGCGTAAATCAACAAATGCGAACGGAAGAAAATGAGTTTGGTTAAGAACAGCACGCTCACCGTTACGCTGTACACGAACGAACCAAATGTGAGCTCTCAGGTCGCGATTGAAACAAGCAGGGTACAAATGAAGCAGATAAACAAACAAAGTCAAATGATAGGATCGTTGTATAAATATACAAAAGGAGTGGAATGTTAAACGTTCATGTACGTGTAAGGCGAGTGGTGTTAGATGAATGGAACGTGAAACTCACAAAATGTGGAACCAAGATAGATTGATTGGGCTCTACAGGAGGGATTTTTACACATCAATCAATGCACGCGCTATTAGCCAACAAATATGCTCTTTAAATGTTATGTGATATGCCAAGACAACATGGTCAATACGAGTATATTTCATACTGAATTTTTTGAAAATCCTTCCGAACCCATAATGATTTATGGTGCAATAACTTTGTGTGTTACTCTTATATTGAAATTTCACGATCATGAACACCGCACATCATTATTTATCTGTTAACTCTATGCCCGGCACATTTGAATTTTGCGTGGTTTCAGAACGGGAGCGACTGTTTGCCTCTCTCTGGACATCTTATTTGGCTCGCTTGTTTGAGTGCTTTTGGCCGCATATTCGAGGTTTGCTTTATTGTACACATTGTAATAATTTCGGTAATTCAGTACCGTAGAACATTGCGTATCAATTGTGTTTTTAATTCGGGATTCGTATTGGTTCGGCTACGCGTCACTCAAGTGCGGATTGGTTGACGTACAACGAGCACCTCTGGAATAGGCCGCAACAAATGGAGAGAGAACACGACTGAGAAACGACAGCCATAGTATTATACTGATCATGAAACAATACGCAGTTATATGTGGCGAAATTAGGCGTACGAGAATCGACTTGATGATGCATCAATCAGGTTGCGACCTTGATACCTCGAATGGTGGATCGGACGACAGCTCTCTGATTCGTCAATCCGGAATCGATTCGGCTTGGGCGTCACGAACGCACTTGTGGTGTGATGTTGATTGATGCGCGGTCGGACGGATTCTGTGAGCTCCATCCTAACAAAATGCACTACACTTTTGGTGCAGCAGCTCTTTTTTTGTTCCATTGTAGTCGGCTATTAGCGCGTTATTAGCTGACCGTTTGCCACCTGAGTTGAATGCTAATTATGAACACCATCGTTAGTGCTTTTAACAAAATACCAAGAATGGACGATGTACTTGGTCGATGACATGCATGTATAAGACCTTGAACACCGAGGTTGGACACAAAAGCGTTCGACGGTCGCTTGGCACATCTGGGACAAGTTTACGCCGATGCTCTAGAACAGTTTTAATTGGGTTGACCGATAATTTTCCCTCAGAGGAGGTAGCAAGACAAGTATCCACTAGAGAAGTAAGAGATTCAGGAAGCGCATATTATTTGACATAGTTTCATATCACTAATTTATAATAGATACTCAATACTAATGGTAAAGATATTGAGAGTAAATCAGTTCGTGTGCCTTTAGTGCGTGGTTATCTAGAAACGCATATGATACATATTCTGACCCTTGTATAGGATCACAACTTACTGGCTGTTCCAAAACAATAATCATAAATGAGCGTGGTTCTGTCGCATAACACTCATTATTTCATAAATTATCACCAGAGATATCTTTAGATGTTATACAGTCTTATAAGATTTCGTGAAGAACCGTTGCAAGACAGACGTCTGTGAAGAATTTCACTCTGGTAACCATCGATTACTAGACTTCAAAGTTCGGAGCCTAGGCATAACAGGTAGAGCCAGGGACTAGATTGTAGCCTTTTTGAGCAACCGCACCATTCGGATCAAAGTGGGTGACTATATTTCTAACCATGAGATGGTTGCAAGTAGGGTTCCCCAGGGCTCGATGTTAGGCCCCTTACTTTTTCTCATATTCATTAATGATCTGCAACAGCATCTACAAAATCCTTGTTTCATGTTTGCTGATGATGTCAAAATGACAGAGTGTAACCTGTAAAGGTACCGGGAGGTTATTCATTGATGGTCGGTCAAGTGTGTAACGTTCCGCACAGACTTGAAACTCCCGCACTAATGTGATGTACCTTTCTTCCC